ATGTAACACGCAAAAAAAAATTAACATGAGGCAAAAAACAGAATGGTCAATAAACCTCATCCACAAATTAAAGTAACAATGAGAAAGAAAAAAAAATAATAAGGATAAACAAAGTATATCAGTTTTTTATATTAATCTTGTTTATCTTAAAAAAATTTCTCAAAAAGAAAAAATTAATTTTAATAAATTTTAAACGATATACCACTATTTAAAGTTTAGGGGATTTAACAAATAAAGCAATAGTTGGATAAATACAGTAACATTGTAAAAACCAAACCCAACCCAAAAAAATACACATTTTTGCAACACTCACAACAAAAAAAAAAAAATTCCAGCTACGGACGAACGTTCCAGTTCCGACGATGGATTATTTCCGACCAAATCCTCTGACGTTTGACCCGGCGGTCCGATGGCTACACATGGCTAGCCTTAGGAGTAGGGGTCAACAAATTTTACTACCCAGTGTCGGAAATTATTAAGAGCAATTTGAATTAGAATATATCATAAGGTGACAATGTAGGAGGTTAGCAGTGCAAATGACGTTCAAGGTAGGAAAGGAACGGGGTGAGTGTACACACAAATGTCGTCCACAAACTGGTCTGAAGTAGTACACAAGTGATCTCGCATACGCACAAATAAAAAACATACTTTATTGTGATTATTTGAATGATAAACGCCGTCGTAGCACACATTCGGCTCAATCAAAATGAAGAGGTACCTTTTGTCACGCTAAAATGTCACTAAGAATTGTAACAATTTTTAAGATCAGTGAATCACAATGCAAAGAGCACTATTGCCATTCTAAATATAGACAATTGTTATTAACAATTTAAAAAACTTTCAATTCCATTAAATTCAAATACACCACATTGTAACTCCGATGATTGAAGTCAAGTACTTTCACAAAATCAACTGTAAATGTGACCCGAAAAATAGATCAATTGAGTAAAACTTAAAGTAGCCAAAACATGTTTAAGTATGGAACACAAGACATCTAAGAACGATAATAACTTCTAATGACCATCAATCTTCTAAAAATATGTCAAAATGAAATATTCTGACATTTAATCTGATGCAAAATAGAAATATGGTTTTTCAAATAAACGCACAACTATTATTGGAAATGACTTCGTCCAGAAAAAAAAGGAAAACGAATTAATTCTCACTGTGCTCTTATTAGTAGCGAGTAACCAGTAAACTATTGTGATTTGACGGTTTTACAAAAGTTTTCAAAAATAATTTTAAAAATATTAAAAAAAGATACATATATCATATAAAAAAAACTTGAAATTGGATTCTTTAAGGATTCTGCAGAGAAATGTGTATAATAAAAATAATATAAATATTTCTTTACTTCGTTAACTTTGTGGCAAACGTGTAACAAAATTGAAGAGGTTGATGCAATAACCAGTTTATTTCAACTATTCAAAAAATAATTTGTTGTTAATTATGAATAAATACCCAGGGTATTTAATCGAAATTCAATAAGAAATTTTCATTAGAGATAAATATAATTTTATAAACCAATTTGATTTCAAATGTGCTATTAGACTTTTTGTATTAGCTCTAATTTTTCATATATTTGCTCATTATTAAAAAAACGAATTTTTACATATAAAGAAAGAATTAAAAAACAAAAAAAAAATTATTTTTTCAAAGTTATAATACAATAATATACATTTCGATTATTTATTTGTTAAAAATAATCTGTGCAAAATTTCGATTCAAAATATCATATTTAACCTATTTGAGTAATCTTTTTGAGTTTATTAAAATATTTGAGCTGCATACACAAAACAATATTATAACTGTTTATAAACGATTTTCTGCATATTTTAACATAAAAATTAGTCATATACTACTATAATTTGTGGAAATGTTTAATTAAAAAAAAAAATACTTTAAATAAAGTATTTTTTTACTTTGACTTCTAATTTCTCATAATGGAGGATCAGTCGCNGTACTTTAAATAAAGAATTTTTTTACTTTGACTTCTAATTTCTCATAATGGAGGATCAGTCGCTGGGACAAATTTTTTTTAATCTTAGAGTATATTTCAAAATCTTTAATTTTGTATAGGTTTAATGTATAGAGTCGTTTCAAAATATTTCCAAATATTGTATAGGAAAATAATAATTTAAACATACATGGGTGATTTTATTTTCAATCCATTCCTGTATTTAGGTTTTTTATTAAATTGCATAAAAGAATATCCAAAGTAAGAATTTTTGATCTAGTTTATTATATTAAATTAAAAAATGTCGAAATTTAACCATAAAAATTGTAATTTTTTGGACGATTATTTTAATTTACGAGGAACAAGTGAATTTTTAATATAAATAAATCAACAATGAATAAGTAAAAAACTTTATTAATACAAATACATAAGCATACACATTTCAACATGTACAGACTGTTTACACTATTCTAAATAGTTTAAACATTTTTTTTTTTTATTATAGTTTTTAATTTAATTTTTAATTAATATCTAAAAGACATCTATAGTCATTTCATATACTAAGTAATTTTTAATTGACAATTTTTTTTATTTTAGAATAGAAGCTCCATCCTTATGCGTTCACGCTTAATTCAAGTACTAAATGTTAATTAATAAAATAAAATGCACCGAATATACTATACTTACAAAAATGAAAAATATGATAGTTTTAACATTTTCTCCTGATATTAATCTGAAAATATAATGTAAAAATAAATGAAATAACTTCACTTAATTGTAATTAACTATGATTGATGATAAATAAACGCATACAATATTTTCTTTAATTAACATACTTTTGAAATTATTTTATTTTTAATTAAAATAATGAATTTTCTATTTAAGAACAACAAATTTAAATTTCTTATTACGCATTAAAATATAAGTCTTACAGTTAAAATTATATTAATATTTAAAAAAATTGTTATTATTTTATATAATATAAAATTTTATATACGTTAATATGAATGGGCGAATATTTTTTGACAAAACATTGTTGTAGAAACATATTTTCATAAATTTACATGTGAACCTATAAATCACAAGATATAAATGATCATATAGTGTATTAGAGCATTTTGAAAACGCATATAAGGTATAGTGGGAAATCCTGTTAATTTTTATTGGTTAATTGTTTTGTGAAATAAAAATAAAAATTTATTCAGTTGAAGAAAATAACTATTTAATGATCACTTAAAATTTTTAATTTTATATAAGACAATATAATTTGGTCAAAATCTTAGTTTTAATTAAACGTATATATTATAAATTTGTAATACATGTATGTAAAGTATAAAGTATTGTATTGCAATAGTAAATAGTCACATAGCTAGTTAAATATTCACATTTAACTAGATATCGATAATAATAATTAATAACTTCAAAATTACCTCATCCAAGCTCACTATGGCTGAGTATGTCTTAAAGTTTTTCATGTTGATATTTAAGGTTCAACTTAAAACAAACTTTCAATTTTAGCTTCAATGCGAAGCTGAGAAGGTATTGGTTTACTATGATATGTTTTTTTTTTCTTTTGTGTCTGTTACCACTTTTTCTCAGCTCTCACCGAACCGATTTCTTTCAACGATACGTCAAAAGATCACAAATCGTATGTAGTCGAAGACATTACCCTTAAAAATTGAAAAAAATTCCCTCGTTCCCGTAAATGGGGGAAACCTCCAAAAAAATTACGAATTTAAAAATCGCTAATTTTCGAAATGTTTTCAATTTTTTTTACTTAAAAGTGCCATAACTTTTTCAAAAATAAACAAATCAATATAATTTTTTTTTTCTATAGATGCTTGATGTCTTTATCTAATATTTGGTATATATTTTTTATAAATTTAACTCTTTAACCGGGCCAAAGTGGGAGACTCAAAATGACAAGTTTTTCACAAAAAATCAACTTTTTCAACTAAACTATTGAAAGTGTTCCGAAAATACTGACACTTTTATATATATCTTAAATTGAAGCTTATGTATTATACTTAAATATTAAAAAGAAAATTAGGACTTTATTTTGTCTTCATGGTGAAAATAGCTACCGTATTCAAAAATTTGCTATTATTGTGTTAAAATTCTGGGTTTTGTATTTTATTTTATTATAAGGGGATTACACTGATTTTCATAAATATTATACTAATCTAATTGACATAGTATAAAAAATTAAACATATCTAAATTTTTTGTTTCTTTGAAGTCGAGAAAAATAACTTTCAATGATACGTAAAAGATCACAAATCGTATATAGTCGAAAATTTCCCTCGTTCCCTGTAACGTAAATTTTAGACTTTATTTTGTCTTCACGGTCAAAATGGCTATCAAATGATATTTTTANTTTGTTTCTTTGAAGTCGAGAAAAATAACTTTCAATGATACGTAAAAGATCACAAATCGTATATAGTCGAATACATTATCCTCAAAAATTGAAAAAATTTCCCTCGTTCCCTGTAACGTAAATTTTAGACTTTATTTTGTCTTCACGGTCAAAATGGCTATCAAATGATATTTTTATGTAAAAATTTTCGATTTTGTATTTTACATTTTTAACTTTATTATGCTGTAACTTTTTGAAAAATGTATGGATCATTACAATTTTTTTATGAGAAGTAGTATTTATATAGATCTTTCATTCGATATACTTTTTTTTTTAAATCGGACCATTTCCTTTAATACAGAGGTGGTTCAAAACATAAAAATGCATATAGAAAGTAGAACTTTTTCAACTTAATTTTTGAAAGTGTTCCAGAAATACTGACACTTTTATATACCCAAAGAAAAACCTCAATCAATTTTGATAGAGAAATTTTATCAAGGGTTTATGATAATGTTTTATTAATACGAACAAAATAACTATTCTTGTGAATAATTATTGTTCAAGACAAGAAAAAAATTATCATATTGATAAATATATTATAGGTTCAATAGTAATGATATATTTATCAAATTGAACAATGAATTTATTATATAGATCAAGGTTTTTGTTTGGGTGTATATATCTTAAATTGAAGCTTATGTAATATGCTTTAAAATTAAAAAAAAAATGTTGGACTTTATTTTGTCTTCACGGTGAAAATGGCTACCGAATGCTATTTTTGTGTGAAAATTTTCGATTTTATTTTTTACATTTTTAACTTTATAATGCTATAACTTATTGAAAAGTTCATGGATCAACACAATTTTTTTTATGAGAAATAATTATTTTTAATAATCCCTTTTTCATTCGACATACTTTATCTTAATCAGGATATTAATAAGGAACCAGCAGATCATGTAACTTTTGGAATAATCTACCAATTTTTTAAAATTAAAAACTATCTAAAGATTTGCATCGGAGCGTTTTTTTTTTAGTGATATTAATCACTGTCAGATATCATTATACTTGATCCAACTATGCCACGTCACAATTATGCTGTGAACCACCTGTATTGGTTTTTTTTATCATTATTCAACAAATTTAGTTCGATATCTGATTATAATTGTTCAATTATCAAACTGTTTTCAATAAAAAAGTTCGATTTAATTTTTTACAATTTTAAATTTGATTTTCAAACTTAAGATTTTTGATTCGATTCGAATATCACTAGTTTTTTTTTCAATTTCAATTAAATTAAAACATTATTAAAGCAATTAAATTACGATTTTTTCCAAATTTAATGTTTGCAATATTTACACTGAGCATATACAGTGGCAAATTATGGATAGCTGAATTCAGAAGTTTACATGAAAACTAAACACTCGCTTGATAAAGAGCATAACAAGTGGGTGCGGGCTTGTACATATCAGCTGATCTATATTTGTGACATTGTGTGTGAACGGAATTGAATAGCCCAAATACAATTGCGATGAAATTTAAAATTACTTTTAAGAAGTACATATTTGTTGTGTTTAATGTATACGAGTGCAATTGAAGATTCAGGACGGTTAATTATGTTAAATCTACATGGATATTAGGAGCCTTATAGAAGACAAAATCAAAATTAAAAGAGGACTTACGTTTTATATATTATAAGTATTGTAATAGTTGATTAGGTGACCTTACTATTAACTATTGATTAAAAATATATCAATAAATACCTGAAAAGACTATTTGTACTATATTTCCTTCGGGTCAATTTTTATTCAATTTATTCAGTATTTCCACTAAAGCACATACCAGTTACCATTACGCTTTGACTGGGTGTCAGATAGGAGGCCAAGACCCCGGCCACTACAAGAATACCTCAGCGTTTAATACCTCTATGAGAGGAGCTTAATTCATATCTTTTTATATCTACTTGTCTTTACTGAAACCCAACGTAAACTAACATAATGCAATGGGAGGACAAAACCTTATGTAAACTAACCTAATGCGGGGGAGGGAGAGGATGAAACCCAACGTTTTCTAAGAATTTTATCATCGACTAGCAGACGCTTAGGTAAGCATATGTCTGACATCAAAGGTATCATAATATTATATCGCTAATAAGCGTCTGTAATTTTATGGGAAAAAATTGTGACGCTGTCTTTGTATTATTAAATGTACAAATCATTTCTAAGAATTTTACCATCAACTACCAGACGCTTAGGTAAACATATTTTTTTAATATTGAAGATGTCGTCATATAGTAATAATCATTATCGTATGAATTTTATGAGAACAATGGTATCGTTTGTCGTTATGGCATTATAATTTCTAAGAATTTTACCATCGACTACCAGACGCTTAGGTAAGCATATTTCCGACATCAAAGGTATCATAATATTATATCGCTCATAAGCGTCTGTAATTTGATATGAGAACAATTGTGGCGCTGTCTGTGTATTATTAAATGTATAGCTATAATTTCTAAGAATTTTATCATCGACTACCAGAAGCTTAGGTAAGCGTATTTCAAACATCAAAGGTACCATTATATTATATAGCTCATAATAGTCTGTAATTTGATATGAGAACAATTGCGGCGCTGTCTGTGTATTATTAAATGTATAGCTATAATTTCTAAGAATTTTATCATCGACTACCAGACGCTTAGGTAAGCATATTTCCAACATCAAAGGTATCACCGTACAGTAACGAGCACTGTCGTATGCATTTTATGATAAAAATGACACCACTGGATGTGTTTCACGCCTACGCAGTATTTTATTCTTTACTATATAACCGGTGAAATACTTCTTGTCCTGTCACATTTGTTTTTAATTGTCATTAACGTGCAGTTGTCATTTTGAAAACCAGAAATTTATTATTTAATAATTTACACGTATAAATAAAACCATGAACCAGCAAGATCAAGCGTCTTCTACACAAGGTATGTAAAATTTTCCAATTATAAACTTATTTTATTTTAATAAATTTATTTTTAAAATATTTTTAATTTTTAATTTTTAAATTCATAAATTTATTAAAAATAATAAATTTATTAAAAATAATAAAATAAATCCAATACCTAATTTTATTATCAATTTTATTTTAATTTTCAATTTATTTTTATTATATAAAAAAAAAAAAATTTTCTTTACTTTACTTTAATGTATAAAAAGAATAATTTATTTCATTTTTGATTTAAGTTACTTCTGCGACATCTGTTTCATCACGTGAGGCGGCTAAGCGTAGTAGGGCTAACAACAGCGCGGTTAGCTCGAAAAGGTTACGTATGCAATTGACGGATACCCATGATTTCTCCGAGATCGATTGCGCATTGGATCGGAGGCCGTTTGGTTTTATCGGAAGAACGTGGAGAATTTCGCGAGCTATCGAGATTTTCTGCGCGCCGTTAAACCCGAGCTGGTGGTCATACTCGCTGAAATTGTAGGTAACCGACCGATCAAGTAAAATCTCAAATTGGAGGCCTCATATCATATACCGCTATCGGAAGCACCGCCCGAGGACCGTGCCTTTAAAACACGAGCTAAGGCATTGCTATCCGATACAGATATCGGGTGTGCGGTCGATGAAGATTTTGAGGTTATGCTCGTCGAGGAAGACGTGTACTCTGGGAGGGGTAGCGGCTTTACTTTATCGCATATCGACGGCATTATGCTCAGCGTATACAAGTATACGCCCCTCGCCGGCTCATCATATATTCCGATTCCGTCCGAAATTAATAATAGAAAAGCAATCATCAACCCACAGAATATCGATCAGTCTTATTTCAAGTGGTCTATTTTGGCGAGACACGTCAAGGGAGACCACAAATATCGCGTTGATCGAAAATATTTTAACGAGGATCACAGGTATAATTTCACAGGGTTGACGTTCCCCACACCTGTGTCCCAAATTAAAATATTTGAACGACAAAACCCTAACGTGTCTGTCAACGTGTACGGCTTGGAACGAGACGACGTTAAGATGAAGTGGTTGGTGTATCCGCTAAGAGTTGCCGACCAAGAACAACAGAATCATTTTGACCTATTGTATATTGGCGACTCTGAAAAATCACATTACGCGTACATTTCAGATTTTTCTAAGCTTGCTCGTAAACAAAAAACCAGACACCAAGGTCGCATATACACTTGCAAACGTTGCTTCACCTGCTTTGATGATCGGCCTAAAAAGCATATTCTTCGGGGTCAACAAGCGTTGGAGCAACACAAGTTGATATGCGGCAAAAATAAACCAATTTTACCTGTTATGCCGGCAGAGGGCAGTAAGGTCGAATTTGAAGCGTGGGTAAAGACGCAACGGTTACCGTTCGTCATCTACGCCGATTTTGAGGCCTTACTGGAGAAAACAGACGATCGCATGGGTGCATACACCAGGACTGTGCATCCCATGAGCTATGGGTTGAAAACATCGGACGATGTACCCTCCGAGCTCCTCGAACGCTACGGTATACCACAATCACCGGTGATATACCGTGGCTCCGAGGATCGCGAAGAGGTCGCTAAGGCATTCGTGATGGCTGTAACTGAAGTGACGCGCAACATTTCTAAATTGTTGCGCAAAACTAACGTTCCTATCAGAATGTCTGCCGATGATGTGCGCAGGCACGGGGAGAAAGTGGTATGCGACTTATGCCGTTCAGCATTCAAGGATTCCAACCCTAAAGTCGCAGACCACTGCCATTTATCGGGGCGATTCAGACAGACGTTGTGCAATGCATGTAACCTAAAAGTGAAGACGGTCAACTTTGTGCCGTGCTTCTTACACAATCTATCAGGTTACGATGCGCATTTCATCGTCACTGAATTGGGGTACGACGACCAAAGGATTTCGGTCATACCGAATTCCGAGGAGAAGTATATTTCAGTCACGAAATACGTAACCAATTACTTTTCCATACGGTTCGTCGACACCTTCCGGTTCATGGCCTCCTCCCTGTCCACCTTGGCCGGTAACCTAATGACGCCTGATTTCGTTAAATTTCGGGAAACGGCCAAGGTGTTCCGTCCGGAAGACATGTTGTTGGTGACGCGTAAGGGCGTATACCCCTACGAGTACACTGATAGTTGGATTAAATTGGAAGAAACGGAACTACCGCCTCATGACGCTTTCTATAGACAGTTAAGTGAGTCGAATATCGATGATGATGACTATAGACATGCCACGGAGGTATGGAACCGTTTCGGCTGCTCAACCCCCGGTGAGTACAGCGACCTATACCTTAAGATTGACGTGTTGTTGTTAGCTGATGTGTTTGAGAACTTCCGCGACATCTGTATTTCCACATACAATTTGGACCCGGCGCACTAATACACCGCGCCTGGTTTTAGCTTCGATAGTATGTTGAAATACACCAGGATGAAGCTGGAGTTCTTGAACGACTATGACATGCGACTGATGGTGGAACAGGGTATTCGTGGTGGGTTAGTGCAGGCTGTTAAGCACTATGCAAAGGCTAACAATCCTAAGACACCCGATTACGATCCGTCAAAACCAGACTCGTGTATCGTGTATCAAGACTGTAAGTAATCTATACGTATATATAAACGCGCAATAATTGAGCGGTGATTTAAAAACGTTTAATGTATACAGGCAATAACCTTTACGGGTGGGCTATGAGTCAGCCCATGCCGTACGGTGGCTTCCGGTGGTATAAAGGAACAGACCCTCTGGCTGACCTCCAATCGTTGTCGGACACTGGTAATACGGGGCGTATATATGAAGTGGACGTATTGTATCCACAAGAGCTGCATGACGAGCACAACGACTTGCCGTTCTTGCTTGTCAACGATGTACCGCCGGGTTCCAAAGAGACCAAACTCATGGCCACTTTGAAACCCAAACAGCGGTACGTCGTACATTACGTTAATCTTAAACAGGCGATCGCACACGGACTGCAAGTCGATAAAGTATGTATAGTTAACCTATAAACTATAAGCGATGATACTAATATAAATATTTGTACTGCAGGTGCACCGCGTTTTAGAGTTTCAACAAAGTGCTTGGTTGAAACCATACATTGAGTTGAACACTGAAATGCGGAAATAGGCGGCAAATGCTTTTAAAATAGCGTTTTTCTAGCTAATGAATAATGCCGTCTTTGGTAAGTGCATGCTCAATGCTAAAGCAGTTGTGGGTTATTCGATAATTTTTTACATTTTATAGGGAAAACCATGGAGAACATGCGAAAGCGTACACGCATTGAGCTAATCTCCAGTTCCAAACGTCTAAGCAAGCTCGTAAACCAACCAACCTTCAACGACTGTATCAAATACGGTGAAAGGTTGTGCGCTGTCATAATGGACACAAAGATTGTCCNCGCCATCATAATGGACACAAAAATTGTCAAATTTATCAAACCAGTATACGTCGGTTTAGTAGTGCTTGACATTAGCAAGACGCTAATGTACAAGTACTTCTACGACGTATTGAAACCACATTTTGGCAACGCAATCGAATTGGTTTACATGGATACTGGTGAGTACAACCGTNGTTTTACATAGATACTGATGAGTACAACCGTACAAAATAGAAATATTTTAGAATTTAAAAATTATTTAGTAGAAATGTTTTTTTATAATATTTATATATTTTTCATTTTTCTCAGACTCCTTCATATACCTGCTCAGAGTCGGCGACTTCTACCAGGATTTAGCTGATAGCCCCGATTTACTGGTGCACGTGGACACATTTAGCCTTCCCAAGGATCACCCTTGCTACTCCACCGATAGAAAGAAGATGCCCGGCCTGTTTTCAGACGAGACCGGTGGCCTCACTCTCTTTGAGATCGCTGCACTTCGATCAAAGTGCTACGCATTTGACATGGAAGGCAGCGAACTCATAAAGTCTAAGGGGATCCGNCGTTGCACTTCGATCAAAGTGCTACGCATATGAGATGGATGGCAGCGAACTCATCAAGTCTAAGGGGATTAGCGGGCACGTCGTCCGAAACCATCTGTCTTTGAATGATTACAAACAAACACCACCACCACAGGGAGGTTAATACAAATATAGTAGTATATAAGTGATTCTCGTTGGAAAAAAAAGTATTGTTAAAATTAAATATTGAAATCATAATTTGTAAAAAATATGTGTACTAGTATAAATAGTTTTAAGATTTTTTTTTGTTAAATAATTGTAAATAAATGTTAGTAATACACATGTAATCGTATATAGTTTTAAAATGTAACATAATATAAAAAAAATTGTAAATATACTTATATTTTTAATTATTAAATAAAAAAAACCTCGTGTTGTATTTGTAATTGTTTATTTATTTAACTAAATGTTTAATACAATAATAAAAAAATGTTTTATTATAATAAATATCAAAAAAAAAAAAAATGTATGGATGCTTTATATAATATCGATTGAATCTATCCATTTATTATGTGAATTATCCAAACCAACAAATTTGACAAAACATTTGTCTTTATTCTTCTTAATGATCTTTTCCACTAAATAAACTTTTGGAAACTGAATCATGCTAAGTTCATGCTCATAGAAACAACCATTTATAGGTCTGTTGTTTTCATCTGTCAGTTCGTACACGACAGGTTTTGTATCACGAATTTTTGAGATTGTAAAGACTTCCGATGTCCAATTTTCTGTGTATCCTTTTGAAAATACTGCTTTATAATTATTCAGACGAACTTTATCTCCAATATTAAACTTTTTATTGTATTTTAAAATAGGTAGCCGTTTAAAACTAACATTTCCAGGAATACGTGATGCTATACTAGTAGTTGTTCCTATGGTGCTGTCTGTGTATTATTNGTAATTTGTTATTAAATCTGCTATAATGTTTATCCAACTATATGATCTATTGGTAGTAAATTTTTTCCACATTTTTTCTTTAATTGTTCTATTAAATCGTTCCACAACAGCCGCTTTTATTGTAGAGTAGGTTGAATAATGATTTATATTTTTGTTCTTCATGAGCATCCGAAAATGTTTATTGAAAAATTTTAAACCTCGGTCTGTTTGCAAGTTTTTTGGAGATCTATTGAACAAGACTTTTTCAAAAGCTGACTTGACTTCTGTACTAGAATTATTTTTTAAAGGCACAGCCTATGCATATTTTGTATAAACATCGATTATCGTTAAAATAAATGTAAAATTTTTATTTTTTGAAGAGTATTTTTTCATATCTACTAAATCTGCTTGCCACAAGTCATCTTTGCCGTACGATACAACACTTCTTCTAGGAAATATTTTTCTAGCCGGTCTATGTAATTCATTTGCTACATTCTCTGCTATTTTACTCATGATATTACACCTAGTTCTCGTAACTCTTCTTCTATTGACAGTATTTCGTTTCCCATGCCTGTATTTCCAGCACTTCTTGCAGTGTCTAAAAGTTCTAGTTTAGGTCTTTTGTTTAAAATTTTGTAGGTTAACACACCACTACCTGTTTTCGGAGGAAATAAATTACTAATGATATATTTATATTTATAACCTACATTACATTTCAATTTTCCATCTCGACCTAAATGGGCATTAGTGTAAAGTAGTAAAGTTTTATAATCCGATAAATCTATTTTATTGAATGAACCAACTGCAGGTTTACTTTTAAATAATAATTGATAAAACCCATAACTTAGCGGTCGTGGTGCTAATGTCCCAACTTTAATAGTTGAAAAATCATCGGTTATTTTAACCGTAGTATTACCCATGATAAAAACATTATCTTTCACATACTTTAAACCGTAAACCGGGTCCATTTCTAACAACCACTTTGAAAAATCTTCTCGCTGANACCGGGTCCATTTCTAGCAACCACTTTGAAAAATCTTATCGCTGAATTTCACTAGAAAACGAGCGTTTAGGCTTATCGATATTTACCGTCTTTATTTCTTTCTGAGATGTAGAAGGTTCATTTTTTATTGAACTTTCCATCTTTATTTCCTCTTCCTGATATGTAGAGGGTTCGCTAGAGCTCTGTATCATATCATTTTCTTCGGGTGTTAAGGATGTAATTGGATCAGTTTTTACTATAGGACGGGCTTTTCCTAAATGACGAAACATAGACTTTCTATGCTTTTGCTTTTCTTCCATTTCAACACGATTTTGATTAGCTATTTCTTGAAGAGGTGTCACCAGCGGTGACANACCATTTCAACACAATTTTGATTAGTTATTTCTTGAAGAGGTGTCACCAGCGGTGACATATGTGTACGTACAAAATTGTCCGATTTCTCAACATTTCTATGAATTAACTGTATTTTATTTTTTATGTTTTGTTTAGAGCGTATGATTTCTTTCAACACTTTATCCGACATCTTGATATTAACTAAACATATAGCAGTATGAGTCGTCTTTTTATACTCGCGTCATTTTTATGAATNATATACTCGCATCATTTTTATGAATATATCAAGCCCACATCGATATCGACCATTGTTGAGGTCATCATCTTTCACTAAAGTTATGAAACTATATCGTCCTTTATTCCAACATTGTGATCACATTGCTTTGAATTCATTAAAACTCATATCACTGGAACAATGATCTTCATAAACGTGTTTGAGATTTGTTTCATCTTGTTTGTACAGTATAATCATATTAGTGTTATCTCTTATCAGTTGTTTTGGAATTCTAGAATACGTCTGTGTTAGGTAAAAACTATCAACACCATTGTGTCGCCCTCGGCAAAAATAAGATGTCATATGAATTTGTTTTTCACAAACCACATCATCGAATACAAATACAGAGTTTGCTTCTAATTTTTCGGGTGGAGGCACGTCTTCACTGCTAATGAACATAGATAATTTTACCACATTATCCATAATCTCACCTAATAATTTATATTTATGCTGATCCGGGGTTTTCGTGTAAACGTATAGGTGCTCGAATCGCAAACCATTTTCCTCAGTTAATAATTTAAACATAACATTTGTTTTACCACAATTCGATGGTCCACATATTATGCATCTTATTGTGTTGGGTAACAGCGGTCCATGTTTAGACTCTATGGGGTCTGTAAGATCCACGACATTATCGACTGATAGAGTATGTTTCTGTTTCTCAAAAAACATTATTAGCGCACGTTATTACTCGTCAAACGAATGAGTATAAATGATGAAAAACTCAAAAAACCTTTACAGTTATAAATTGAAAATGGTGCGAACAAGACGTGCGACAAAGCGAAGTGTAGGACGCGGTATTGTTAATTCTATAATTAATCGATTGCCTATTGAAATGCATGTTCCAGGGTATCAGTATTGCGGACCAGGCACAAAACTTAATAAAAGACTAGCACGTGGTGATCCTGGAATAAATAAACTCGATGCAGCGTGTCGTGAACATGATATTGCGTACGCAAGAACAAATGATTTATCAGAACGGCATTTGGCTGATTACGAGTTGGAAAAACGTCCTTGGGACCGCGTAAAAGCGAACGATAGTTCATTTGGAGAAAAGGCTGTAGCTTATGCTGTTACAAATACCATGAAAGCTAAAAGAAAGATTGGAATGGGTTTTGGTGGTGTACTACGAGTTGGACGTAAAGCTATGCGTAATTCAAAAGATATTAACAGTGCGGCAAACTTGGCATTAGCGGCAGCTCGTGTTGCTATAAAGGGAAAACAAAAATTTAAAACACCTCGCACTATCAAAGTACCTAAATTTGGAGGTGTGCTGCCACTCATTCCTATTTTTGCTGGACTTTCAGCTTTAGGATCGTTGGCTGGTGGAGTATCGAGTATTGTAAGAGCTGCACACGAAGTCAGAAAAAACGTTAATTCGAATAAACCAGTGAAAATCGGTAATGCATTATACTTGCATCCATATGCTGGGAAAAAGAAGGGTGGTGGATTCTATTTGAAACATCAAAAAAACTAGCATTGACACTACCCAAGCGACGTGCACTCAGCGATTTAGATATTATAAAATATGCTGAGTCATTCGGAATCAGTCATTTCCGCGGTGTCTTTTCGAGAGATAAGTTGCCTGTCAAGCCCAAAATATACGAGAGTGCAGTTGTTAATTTGGACATTGACCGTGGGAAAGGAACGCATTGGGTAGCGTATTTTAAGAAAAGCAAGGACGTGGTGTATTTTGACTCTTTTGGAAATTTACCTCCTCCGCTGGAACTTGAAAAATATTTCACCGGATTGCGCGTGAAATACAATTATAATCAGAAACAAAAATATAACACAAACGTTTGTGGTCAGCTGTGTTTAAAATTTTTAAAATCACTATGCTCAAATCGCTGACCCTTACACTGCATGACACAACGTCGGAAGTCACATCAAGTTTTTTTCCACCGATAGAATTCACTGGAGCACCAAAGGTTGCATTGTTGGGATTT